GCTCCAGGAGCCTCTCCAGCCCGGAGGGCGCTGGAAACAGAGCTTGTGGGGTAGTGTCAGATACGGAAACAGGGTCCTGAAAACCGATTTTCAAAATGCATACAGTTACTCTTGTAGGGAGCCGCCGCGGCACTGGTGTTCAGGGCTGTCAAGTGCCTTTACACATGTCCTTCCCAGCGGGGAGGGCCCTCCTCTAGGCCTCAGTCATGGCCGGTCGGTGTAACTTAACGGACCGCCATGGCGGTACCACCTACAAGCACTCCACAAGGTCAGGTGCCCCCAGAGTAACGAATCTAAGCCCGAGAGCATTTCTTGTTCACTCCAACATGGCCCCTGAATGAGTGGGGGATATGGACTATGGAGCGCTCTGAGATCAGGTTTGTGACTACTGGTTACACCCACCAGTGGTAGTGGTGTTTCGCCAGGGGCTCCCCACAGGGGAGAAGTCTGATATGAAGGTCGGGTGACCCCCTACAAAAAAGATGGATGGGATGGATGGCTGAGCAGGGCGAAGGTCAGAGTGTAGGGCCGGGTCGGTAGGGTGGGGACGGTGCGAGTACAGGTGCGGGAGCGGGCAGAGAATAAAAGTCGTCGGATTTTCACACTACCAGGTCCAGTCAACAGCAGATCAGATCCAATAGGGGGCATTCAGGAGAGTAAGGTCAGGTCAAGCCAAGGGTCAGAGACATGGTAGTGAGGTGAAATACAGCGTGGTCAAGGACAATCCGTGAGGTCAGCAACAATCCAGGTAACGGCGAGTAACAGAATTGCTGGAATGAGACCCATGACGGCACTCAAGGGCTGAAAGAGGACAGTTCAGGGGTGTTTAAGGGGCGAGTCCTATCTGCGCCCTGTGCTGTCATTGGGCCCCAGGGGGGGGCTCTATCGGTAGCGCCCGCAGGTCGAGATGGGGGTGATGCATGGACTATGCGCGAGTTCGGATGCCGTGGCCGGAGAGGGAGAGACTGAAGACCTATGTTGGTTTGGAGAGTATGACCCTGCACAAGGAGGCGTCACTGAGCGCCTGCCGGAGGGGTTTTTTTTTGTTGGGCCCCCCGCGGTGATCCCTGACAGAAATCACGTGGAGAACTTCAGGGGGGCCCATAGGGTGGGAGGGGGTTAGTAGATGGTAGGATGAGTCCCATAGATTGATGGTTCAAAGGACGTACCCCCGATGTGATAAGAGTTTCCTTATACAGGCCTCCATGAAAGGAAAATGTCGAAGGGGTCCACATAAAAAAGAAAAGGGAAAATGTTAATGAAGATAGTGGAAATATGGGGAAAGGGGGGAAAAGGAAGAAGGGTTGTGTGTAGGCAGAAAGTTGGTATGGGTTTGTAGGGGGATTGGAAAAAAAGCTGCTTTCCAGGGAAAGCGAGGGGAAAAGGGAAGGATGGGGGAAAGAAGGGTCTTGGGAGGGGAAAAAAAAGAAAAATAAAGGAATGGTGTGGAGAGAAAGGAGATGGAAGGAAGGATGTAAAAGGGGTAAGGGGGTATGAGGAAGAAGGGTCGGGGGGTAGTGATCAAAAGAAGTAAAAAGGGAAAAGGGATGGGAGGAAAAAAGAAAAAAGGGAGTTAGAGAAAGAGGAAAAGTGCAGGTCAAAAGTAACGAAAAAAAATCATGTCTCTTATTAAAAAATGAAATGGGGGGAGTGAGAAAAAAGGGGATAGAAAAGGGGATGTGGGGGAAAGAGGGGGGGGGATAAAAAAGAGAAGAGGGTGGGGGTAGGACCAAAGGAATGGGGGGGGGAGGGGAGTGGGGGAAAGAAGTATAGATTAGGGATAGGAAGGGGGAATGGGGAAAACAGTAAAAAAATGGGGAGGAAACCCAAGGGTAAGAAAAGGAAAAGAAAAAAGACTGCAATGGTGGGGGAAATCTGGGAAATTAAAAAGAAAAAAATAAATAAAACAGGAGGGGGTTGCCAGATAGGCCGAGGAAAAGGAAAAATAAAAAAGAAGAAAAAAGAAAGGGGAAGTGAGAAATAACAAAAAGTTAGGATTTGAAGAAAAATAGGGGAAAAATTAGAGAAATGTGAATAGGAATCAAAGAAAGGAAAAAAAATATAAAAAAAACCAAAGGATTGGTATAAACCAGAAAGAAAATAAAAAGAAAAGAAAGGAAAAAGAAAAAAAAAAAAAAATAACAATGGAAGGAACACGTTGGTTGTTGGTGATGGGCGAAAAGAACAGCCTCTTTTCTCATTCCAGAAAAGCAAAAAGAAAAAAGAGGAAAAAAAATAAAAAAGTAAAGAAAAAGAAGGGAAGATAAAAAGTCTTGAGTTGGGCATAGACATGGAAGAAAAACTTAGGTTTGAAGTAATTCCCTGGTCCTTTTGGATCTCTCTGTCAGAGCTTCTACTAACACGTTCACCTTCTTTTTCATTCTCCGATTCTCCTCTTTTCTTGTTTCTCAATCCCGATTGACAAACACTTTCGTAGCTATTTCTAACAACTGTGAAATGTTCATACCAGTGAATTCTTCTTGCTCTTGCAATTTTACACTTATATTTATTTAACCATATATAGAAATATTAATCTTGCTCTTGGTATCCTTTTTCCCCTCTCCCTTCTCCTACCCCATACCTCCCCAGCCTCTAAACCCTCCCCCGCAGCCCTGATTATTTTCTTTCCTACTCATTCTATTAATCCTATTCAAAGAATATTACTTTTTTTAATTTACTATTACAATTATCCTCCATGACTTCTATTATCTAATACATATATTCCAGGTATGAGTTTGACTTTTTAAATTCCTCCCACTTTTCCCATTTTATACGGAAAATCTCCATCCTATCTTCATCCATATGGTAAAGTTCCTCCAATTTATTTAAGTCCTCTCCACCCTATCCAGTCCTTTACTCTCGGTGTCTGTTGTTCCCTCCAGAATTTGGGTATCAGGCCCTTCGCTGCATTCAAATAGTACCCTAACCCAATTTTTTTATATTTTTTACTGAGAGCTCAGAGCCATAGAAAAGGCAAATCTCTGGATCCTTTGGCATATTGACCCCCATTATTTCCTGTATTAAGTATACTATACCTCCCCAGTACTCTTGTATTTTATGACACTCCCACCACAAGTGAAACATTATGTCTCTATCTCCACATCCCCGCCAACATAAAGGTGAATTATTTCCACTTATCCTATGTGCAACACTCGGTGTAATGTACCATCTTGTCAAAAAATTATAGTTCATTTCCACCCTTCATATTTACATTTCTGTGAATTAAACTGTACATTTTCTTTTGTTTTTTTCTCATCAATTATTACTCCTAGATCCCTTTCCTATTTTTCTATAAATAGTGGCCTTATATCCGTACTCAAACCTGTAAGTATCTTATATATTTTAGAAGTCCCGTGCTTCCCATCTCCCTGTGTTTCTAATAAGTGCTCAAAGGGGTTCCAATCCTCTTTTTTTCTTAGTGGTTTTGGAAGATTCCCTATAAAGTGTTTCAGCTGAAAATAACACCATACATCCATTCTCATGAATATTTCCCTCTTACTGTCCAATTCCCTACGTGAACATATTTCCCCTCCCTTCATTATGTCTCTTAACTGTACTTCTTTCTTCTTTATCCACTTCCCTATAATACTTTCTTTATCTGGAGGAAAAAACTCTATGTACCCAAGGGGCATTAACAGTGAATTAAATTCCCATCCCTTTTGTGTAGAGCATCCCAAACTCTTAAAACATTACATGTAAATAAACTTGTGTTATCTGCTAATCCAGGGTACTGAGGAGGTAACCAAATATTTCTACATAAATCCGTACAACTTAATGTATTTTCTATTTTTACCCAGCTTTTCCCCTGTGCATTATATGTCCAGTCAAAAATTCTTGCCAATATTACTGCATTATAGTATCTTTTTATGTCTGGTACTCTTAAACCGCCTCTTTGTCTGTACTTAAAATATCTTAACTAATTCTAGGTTTCTTATTCCTCCAGATAAATCTTGTCAGGATTTTTTAAATTGTTAAAGTATACCTCAGGTAGTTTAATTGGTATCATTTGGAATTTATATAAAATTTTTGGAACAATCACCATTTTTATCAGATTTATCTGTCCAATCCCTGACTGAGATCCCCAGCCTAGTTTCTTTATTTCATCTTTAATCTCATTTAAATAGTGGAATATAATTTAATCTATATAGATTTTTTTATAGATACCGTCAATTTTATACCAAGATATTTTAATTCTCTTTCTCTCCAAAGGGGAATTACTCCTGTAGCATTTTTTTATCTCTATTTAGAAGGTTTATATTTAAACTCTCTGTTTTAGTTGGATTAATTTTTAAATTTGACATCTCACCATATTCTTTTAAAGATTTAATTAAATTTGGCAGTGTTATCCTTGGGTTTCCTACATAGAACAGCATGTCACCTGCATAAGCTGCCACCTTATGCTCTATTTCTCCCACCCAGATTCCTTTTATATTTATATTATTTCTTATGGTGGCCAGGAGAGATTCCAGAGTAAAAATAATACAAATAACAATAGAGACAGACAGAGGACATCCCTTTCTTGTTCCATTCTGCATCTCAATATATTCTGACAATTCCCCATTTACCATAATTGCGGCCGAGGGTTGATTATATCATTTCCTTATCCATTTTCTCATTCTGGGTGCTAATCCCAAAGCTTCCAAGGTGTCTATCATATATCCCCAGTTAACTCTGTCAAATGCTTTATCAGCATCTAGAGTATCAACGCAGTTTTCTCCTTCCTACTTTTTTGTATAAGAAACAGAGAACTTAATCCGTTGCCTCTACCCTCTCTCCCTGGGACAAACCCTACTTGGTCCATATGTATCCACTTCGGCATTAAATCTTTCAACCTATTTGCTAGTACTTTTGCATATAATTTAGTATCTGTAATTAATAGGGAAATCGGTCTATAGCTTGAACAGTGAGTGTCGTCTTTACCTTCCTTACGTATAAGGGCAACATGAGCTTCCAGGGATTCCCTCATTTCCATCTCTCCTCCCAAAGCATTCATATATAGCCTCAGTTTTGGTATTAATATTTCTTCATATTTTTTATAGTATCTTACCGTGTATCCATCGGGTCCTGGGCTTTTCCCAACTATAGTACTTTTTAATGCTATATGTATTTCTTCTTGTGTTATTTCTATTTCCAGATTTTAATTGTTCATCACTTAATTTCGGTAATCCCGCCTTTTTCTTGTTCAAACTTTTTATTGGGTTACAGGGATAAAGTACATACAGTGAAATCCTGCACGTGGTACCATATGCCACGAGTAGGTAAATATGAGGCTCAAGGCCTTTAAGCAACTGTATGGTTACAACAACTTTATGAACTGAATAAAATAACCAAAGAGAGAGGAAGGGAAGAAATAAAGAAGGAGGCAAAAGTAGAGAAAATTAGAAAAGGGGGGGAAAGGGGGATGGATAGGGCATGTGACTTCCAGGATGGGGGGGGGGTTGAGCGGGACCGGACCAGTGCTCCGAAGCATCTATCAGGGAAGAAATGCATTAAGGGAGGAGTAGAGACTCATCAAATCCCTGAGGGAGGAAGTGGTCAACAAAGATCCATTATCTCCTGCGCTCAAAGACTCAGATCAAACAGGCGTTAGTAACAAGCAGCGTGTTGTGTGTTCATCCACTGGTGATCAGAGGTTGTGCAGCTCTATCATGAAGCTGGGGATGCTTGATAAAACTGTAGAAGAAGATGAAAGAAAGAGCGCACAAACTTTGCGCATTATCTCAATAAATAGTGACTCATTTTTTTAAGGAAACATACTCACAAATGTTTAGACTAAACAGGCTGAACTGCTGTAATACTGACACTCAGTGGCTGAATATCTCCTTGCCATGGGAACTCTGCCATACTGAAGTCTCTATCTGCTCAACCCAGCTCTGATGAAGAAGGGACCACCCTTCGAACGTGTTAGCCTTCATCCCCACCCCCTTTTGGATTTATCTGTAACCCCGTTTGGATTATGGTTACTTATGCCTGTTATACCATCACTTTGTGAGTATATTTCCTTAATAATAAAATTAGTCACTATTTGAGGTAATGCGCAAGGTTTGTGCGCTCTTTCATCTTCTTCTACGGAGGAAGTTCTCAACCCAGGGGGACCCGGTCAATAAGAATTTGGAGATTGTGTCAGTGACGGTGGCCTCTATTTTAGCATGTATCATAGACTGCGTCACCTTGTTCCGGACCGCCTGTACACTAAGCGAGGGGGTCTTCCAGGATTTCACTATGATTTGCTTAGCGGAGCTTGTAATTTGTAAAAGAAGCTTAAACTGGGTTTTAGAAATAGAGAGGGGCCAAAAATTGAGTAAGGTGATTTCCGGTGTTGGCACAAAATGCTTTAGAAAAAGGGTGGATAACATGTGGAAAATATCTTCCCAGAAAGAGTGGGCTATCGGACAAGACCACCAAATGTGGAGGTATGTGCATTTCATCGCACAGCCGCATTTCATCGCACACGGAAACCGGGGGAGTATCCGGGTGTAAATTAGCAACCCTAGTCGAAACCAAATACCATCGGGATAAAACCTTATAGTTTGTCTCAACTGCCACTACATTTTGCGAAGAGGATTTGGTTGCCTGCCAGATATGATCCCAATCTTCAGGGCTCAGCTGTGAGGTTAGGTCCCTCTCCCACATGGTGACATATGAGGGGCGAGAGGAAGATATGGGGGTGGAGAGTGGAGCATAAAGAATAGAGATAATCCCGCCTTTTTTTATATATGTCTGTCATCTTTCTATTTTTCTTACTTCATCTTCTCCTTTGGTACCATGGGGCATAATATTGTATAACTTATTATAATATTCTTTAAACACTTTTGCTATATCTTTAGTTGAGTACACTAGTTCTCCTTTATCATCTCTTATTTTCTCTATATAATTCCTAGATTTTTTTTCGTCAGGGCCCTCATTAAGTATTTTCCTGGTCGATCTCCCTATCTAGATCTTTCACTTATCATTTTGTTAAAAACGCTCCTCTTATCCTCTTCCAAGAAATTATTATTTTTTTTTTATAAATATTTGATTTTTCAAATCATATACAAAACATTTCAACATTTCTATTAAAATCGTTATCAAAACATTGTTTTCTCCTCATAATTTATTTATATATAACTTCCATTTCTTACCATCCCCCCCCCCCCACCCGAGAACCCCCCTCCCTCTATCCCCTTAGCCCCTCCCTCCTCCCCCCCCACTCCACATTTTCCCTTCTCAGATTAAGTCCATATTATTCTGTTGTTCCTAAACCGTTTCTAAACCTCTTCCAGGGATATTATCTCATCATATATTTCACCTTTTCTCTGTATTCTTCCCAGCCTTTCCATTTTTTTATTATACAACTCCAACTTGTCGTCATGCGTATAGAACAATCTTTCTGTCTCTAAGATCTGGTTTACTGTACCCATCCAATCCTCCTCAGTTGGCACCTCTCTTTTCTTCCAAAACCTGGGTATCAGGCTCTTTGCTGCGGTCAAGTAATACCATATCCCCGAACTCTTATATGCTTTCACTGAGAGTTCTGAGATATGGAGGAGACATAATTCTGGATCCAATCCTATTTTGATTTTGGTGATTTTCCCTATCAAATAAACTATCCTCTGCCAGAACACCTGTATTTCTGGACACTCCCACCACATATGATACCACGTGCCCACCTCTCCACAACCTCTCCAACACATCCGTAAAATTTTGTATATTCATCTTGTGCTCCACATTAGGGGTAATGTGCCATCTATTCAAACACTTATAATTTATTTCTACTTCCCGCATACTAATATTTTCGTGAATTAGTGTGAGCATTTTCCTCTGTTCCTCCTCCTCTATCTTTCTTCCCATATCTCTTTCCCATTTCTCTATGTGAATTAATTTTGTGTCTGTGTCAAGATCCATTAATATCTTATGAATTTTTGCCGTTCCGTGTCTACCATTTCCCCGTGTCTCAAATATTCTCTCAAATGGATTCCAGTCTTGGAAGGCTCTCATAAAAATACTTCAGTTGGTAATATCTTAGTCTATCCATCTTATTGAAGACTTCTCCCTTTCTTTCCTCCAAATCTTTGTATGACCCAATTTCCTCTCCTACCATTATATCTCTCAATTGCGCCTCCTGTTTTATAATCCATTTCCCTGCTATGCTATCCTTACCCGGGGTGAAGTATTTTGTGTTCCTAAGTGGTATTAATTGTGAATTATAAACCCACCCCTTTTGTCTGTGTAATAAATCCCATTATTTTAAAACATTAAGAGTGTACATACTGGTGCTCTCCTCTAATTCCCTATATTGTGCGGGTAACCAAATACTTTTACTTAAACTTATTCCACTCAGTGCTTTCTCAATTTCAACCCAACTTTTCTCCGGATTATATATCCAGTCGAATATTCTCGCAATAAACCCCGCTTTATAATATCTCCTGCAATCTGGTACCCCCAATCCTCTTTCTTTACTTCTAGTCAACAGTTCATAACCTATTCTAGGCTTTTTATTCCTCCATATAGAAACATTTTATTATCATTTTCCTAAGTTCTTTAAAATATGCCTCTGGGAGTTTGATTGGGATCATTTGAAATTTATATAATATTTTGGGGACAATTACCATCTTTATCAAGTTTATGCGACCTATCCACGATGGGTTTCCATTTCCCACTTTCCTCAATCTCATTTAATAATGCTATATAATTGGCTTTATATAGGTTCTTAATTGAGGCTGATAGTTTTATTCCTAGATATTTCAATTCTTTGTCTCTCCAGAGGAACGGGAATTCCTCTTGTAATTTTTCCTTTTCGCTGTTTTTAAGGTTTATATTTAAGATTTCTGTCTTTGTCGGGTTAATTTTCAGGTTCGACAGTTCTCCATACTCCCTCAATGCTTTCATTAAATTTGGAAGTGATGTTCTGGGGTTTCCAACATAAAACATCAAATCGTCCGCATAAGCCACTACCTTATGTTCTCTATCTCCTATCTTTATTCCTTTTATGTCTATGTTTTTCCTAATCATGGACAATAAGGGTTCCAGTGATAACACATATAACAATGGCGACAATGTACATCCCTGTCTTGTACCATTTGACATCTTAATATACTCCGATCTTCCTCCATTTACCATTTTGGTAGCGGTAGGGCTTCTGTATAACTCTCCAATCCACCCTCTCATTCTATTTCCAATTCCTAACACATCCAGGGTATCCATCATAAAACCCCAATTCACCCTGTCGAATGCCTTCTCAGCATCTATCGACATCAGTATCATTGGGGTTTTCCCTTTTTTGCCCTCCTGTATAAGCAACAGTCATCTCAGAGCATTATCTCTACCCTCTCTTCCTGAGACAAACCCCACCTGATCTCTATGTATCCACTCCGGCATCAACTCTTGCAATCTATTTGCCAAAACCTTTGCATATATTTTGATCTCTACATTCAGCAGCGCTATTGGTCGATAGCTTGCACATTGCGAGGGGTCTTTATCTTCCTTCTGTATCAATACTATATTAGCCTGTAAAGATTCTCTCCCCTTATCTCCATCCCCTTCCCCAAGGCGTTCATGTAGATCTTCATCTTAGGTATTAAAAGCTCTTTATATTTTTTATAGTATTTGACCGTTTATCCATCCAGACCCGGACTTTTCCCTCCCGCCATGCTTTTTAATGCTGTTTTTATTTCCTCTGCAGTTATTTCTGCTTCTAAAGAATCCAATTGTATTTCTCTTAATTTCGGTAGGCCTGCATCCTCTAGGTATGTCCTTCTTTTCCCTCTATTTACTGTTTCCGTTTTCTCAAACGTATCCTGAGGTATGATATTATACAGCTCGTTATAATACTCTTTGAATGTACTAGCAATATCCTTGGTTGAGTGTACAAATTCCCCCTTGGGATTTCTTATTTGCTCAATATAATTTTTATTTTTCTTCTTTCTTAAAGTTCTTGTTAAATACTTTCCCGGCCTATCTCCCCATCTATACCTTTCACATGTTATTTTATTAAAGACTCTTCTTTTTTCCTCCTCCATTACTTTCTCTAATTCTTCTTTCTTCTTCATTAACAACTGCATTGTCTCCTTAGATCTTTCCCTTTTATGCACCTGTTCAAGATCATATATTTCATTTAATAATCTATCTTTTCTCTCTCCTTTCTTTTTTGTCCCCATTGCAATGAGTATTTTTTTGGGGGGTGGAGCCTGAACATGGCGGCACGGGAGAGTGTGGTTTAAGCACTCCTCGTTAGCCTCCCCCGTTTATCCTCCCTGAGATGTCCCAATACCGTGACTGGCTGCACTGGAGAGCGTGCGGAGTGTTGTCCAGCTGGAGAGGGGCCTCGGAGACGACGTGGCGGTGAGCCCGAAGGGAGACGTATGAGCTCCTTCTCCCCTGGAGATTCCCACGGCAGCTCCGAAGGAAGCACAGGGTTGCCCAAGAGACGGGCGCAGCGGCGCAGACACGTGGGCTGCCGCGGAGGAGCTCTGGGAGTGGGGGAAACTTCTGGCGTCCCAGCGTCCAAGGTATCTGGGTGTGAACGATGTAAGGGGTAAACGCCGGCATACCGCCTCCATACTACCTCCATACCCATACCATCAACTCCATACGGCCTCCATACTACCTCCATACCCACACCATCATCTCCATATTGCTTCTATACTACCTCCATACCTATACCATCATCTCCATACTACCTCCATACCTATACCATCATCTCCATATTACTTCCACACCACTCTTATACCAATACCTCCATACCATCACCTCCATACCATTTCCAACCATAATACCACCTTTAACCCAGGAGAATACGGAAAGGAAGACAAGGTATAAAGAGACCCACAGGAATCCCTCTAAGAGAAGACAGGAGAGGACTGCATACTCCAACGTGGAGGGTGAGTGATTACTGCGGCCTCTCTGCAGGTCTCCTTATACTCTCTATATATACTGGATTTATATACTGGATTCTTTGTTTTTTTTATACATGGGATTTATGCATTGGATCTCCTAGTGCTTGTAACAAGACTTTATATATTATATATAACAGCTAATTGGAAGTAAGGAAATAGAGGTTCCCTTGGGAGGGTCTGGAAGAGCTGAAGAAGAGGAATTCTCAGAATAAAAGTTAAAAAAACAAAATACCATGAAAGGTAAAAATATTAAAGGGAGTGGGACTAAGAATTCCCAAACTGGTACAATTAAGAAGTACACGTCACAAGGGAATTTGACCCCAGAAAGATCTCGGGGAGCAAGTGAAAAGAGTGAATTGGAAATAAGTTTGGATAATAGTCCGAGACTTTCCCTGGGACCGGTATATAATAGTCAACATCTAACGGAAGGTATAGAGCCGAGAGAAATTGAAAGAGACCTGCAAATACCAAATAAAAAGGAAATGGAGATGTTCAAAAACCTGGAAAAATCAATAAAGCAAGAGATGGGGACAATACAGGAAGATTTGGAGCAATTGTTAACCAGGGTGGAGGAAACGGAGGAAAAAGTTCAAATTCATACCCAAATTCTCCCAAAATTAGAGAATGGATAACAGATAATAGAAAGGAACAAAAAAGATTGCTTTATATGATGGAAGAACAAGAAAATAGAGAAAGGAGAAATAATCTTAGAGTAAGAGGAGTCCCAGAGCCGACTCGGGGAAGACTTAAAAGAGTTAATTGGCAAAATCTTAAACTCCATAATGGACAAATCGGATACGGTGACGTTTAAATTGGATGGAGTGTATAGAATTGGGAAGTACCAACAAGAAAAAGGATTAGAGAAACCAAGAGATATAATTGTTAAATTCCATAATTATGGAGATAAAGAAGAAATATGGAAAAAGATTAAAGGAAGAACAAGTATTGTATATGGAGGGAAAAATATTCAAATTTCTGCAGATTTAACAGACTCTGAGAAGGAAAAGATCACTGAAACCCCTATTAGAAGTGTTGAAAAAATATAATGTGAAATATAGATGGGGTCGTGCAATGAGCTTAATCAGTTGGAGGGATGGAATTACAGCAATTTTAAGATTTCCGGAAGATATGGAAGATTTCTGTGATAAATTTGGACTGCAGAGACCTGAGATTCTGGGTTGGGAAGTAGAGGAGGGAGAGTTATATGCTCCTGGGGAAGGAAAGTGGCAGCTGGTTAGAAGAGGAAATAGAGAGTCAATGGATAAAGGGACACCAGGGAGGAGGGGGGGAAGGTGAGCGGTAATAGGCACAGCCGAACCTCTAAGATAGGGATCAGAAGTGGATTATGATCCAAAGGCAAAGGAGGCCTGGGGGGGGGGGGAGTGGAGGGGGGGTGGAAAGGGAGGTAGGGACATGGGGAAGGTAAAGGGTAGGGGGGGTAGTAAAACTCTGCAGGATAAGAGAAGGATGGAAGAGGAAGGATAAGACCGCAGGAAAAAAGTAAGATGGAAGAAATCCAATATATAACCTATAACGTGAAGGGGTTAAACTGTCCAGGAAAGAGATTTAAATTATTTAAAGAACTACAACACAGAAAATCCTCAGTGGTATTCCTGCAGGAAACACACTTAGAGATGGAATCAAAGGTTAGATTGAGGACTAGACACTTTACAACATGGTTTTATGTGGACTCACCAATTAAAAGAGCAAAAGGAGTAGCTATAGGCTTTGCAAAAAATATAAGGTTTGAGGTGGAGGAGAGATTAACGGATTTGGAGGAAAGGTTTTTGTTTTTGAGAGGTAAATTACAGGGAACTGAGTGTACAATAGCAAACATATACAGTCCAAATAAGAGGCCGGAGATGTTTATGAGAGAAGTGTTGAAGAGATTAATGGATTTCAAAAGGGGGTGTATGATAGTAGCAGGAGACTTTAACATCTGTATGGATCCACGGATGGATACTAATTCCTGTGTGAGGAGGGAGGAAAGCAAGTCCTTGAGAATGTTAAAGAAATTGTTGCATGAGTGTCAACTGGTGGACATCTGGAGAATTAGGAATATGAAGGAGAGAGATTATACTTTCTTTTCACATGTACATAAGACTTATTCTAGATTAGATTACATACTAGTGGAACATCGAATGATAGAGTGGGTGGAGGAAGTAAAAATTGAAGGAAGCACCCTGTCAGATCATGCCCCAGTTACAATGAAGTTAAGATGAGGTAGAGAGGGGAGAGAAGGGTATGTATGGCGGTTGAATGAGGCACTTCTCATAGATGAAGAGATTGGTCAAAGAATTAAGAGGGAAATTGAATGGTTTTTTGAAGAGAACGAAACAGAGGATGTGTCGGTTGCAACGGTGTGGGAAACACATAAAGCCTACATCAGAGGTCTACCCAAGAAATTATTTAATTCTTTGCTTTTATTTATTATCTTTTGCATCCCCTCGTTATTTTATTTTTATGTATCTGCTCTAAAAAGTGTATTTATTTTTTCCCTTCTTTTCCTCTTCTTTCTTGCTCCTATCGCTTTTAGGATTCCTCTAATATAGGCCTTATGAGCTTCCCACACCGTGGCCACCAACACTTCTTCAAACTCATTTTCCTCAAAAAATTGCTTCTTAACTTTCTGGTCCGTCTCTGGATCCTGAATAAGTGTCTCATTTAACCTCCATGATCTCCCTCCACTCTGCTCTTTTCCCCATATCAATTTCATTGTGACAGGAGCATGATCAGAAATTGACATGGTTTCTATATTTACTTTAAGCAAAGACTCAATAAGTTGATGATCCAACAGTATGTAATCCAGGCTGAATACATCTTGTGTGCATGAGAATAATACGTATAGTCTCTATCCTTCACATGCTTAATTCTCCATATATCTACCAATTGACATTGATATAGCATCTTTATTACATTTTTAAAAGAACTACTACCATCTCTATGCACCGAAGAGGTCACATCCATCTGTGGATCCATACAAAAATTAAAATTCCTTGCCAAAATCAAACTACCTTTTTTGAAATCCATTAATTTTCTCAACGTACTTTTTAGAAATATCTCCGGTTTCTTATTCGGGCAATAAATATTTGCTAGTGTACATTCTATTTCCTGCAATTTTCCTTTCAAGAACAAGAACCTCCCCTCCAGATCTGCTCATCTTTCTTCTAACTTAAACTTTATGTTTTTTGCGAATCCTATTGCTAATCCATTTGCCCGTTTAATTGGGGAATCTGCATAAAACCACTCTGGAAAATACCTAGATTGTAACTTCACATTTGTTTCTTGTACTAGGTGAGTCTCTTGTAAAAACACCACAGAGGAAAATCTATTTTGCAGCTCTTTAAGGATCCTAAATTTCTTCCCAGGACTATTTATACCTCTAACATTATACGTCTCGAAGTGAATCTCTTCTGTTTTTCTCTTTTTCTCTCCTCCTTTCATCCCTCTTTGCCCTCCTCCTCTCTCCTTCATGTCTTCCCCTTTGTTCATACCTCTTCACCCTCCTCCTCTCTCCTTCATGTCTTCCCCTTTGTTCATACCTCTTTACCCTCCTCCTCTCTTCTTCATGTCTTCCCCTTCGTTCTCTTGAGTTTCTCCTAACTAGTGTACCTCCTGCTATCCCACGTAGTCTAAGGCTGCCAAAGAGTCCCAGGCTGTCTACTACCTCCCCATACCCTTCTTCCTCCCCTAACCCTACTCCCACCATCCTCCCTATCCCCTCTTAGGCTTCTTTCTTGCCTATAAATCATTTGTGGTCCTAACCCCACCTTTGATTCGACTTTAAAGTGGAGCTCTAACCATGTACGTCCCTCCAGTATTCATACCTAAACCTCCGTGTCCCACCTTACTCAAAAAATAAAACACTCCAAAATCCTAAGAAGGAGGCAGAAATAGAGGGAGATAGTGAAGGGGAAAACAAAAAACAAATTTAAAAAAAAAAAAAAAAATCATTCAATTTCCCCCCTCCCTCCAATTTTGATCCTATTTACTATTTCTGCTCTCTATTCCTTCTTAACACTACCTGCCATCCCTCTTTTTCTTTAGCCCATGTCTCCCCTTCTACTTCCCACCCAAAGGTCTCACAAAAGTCACTCAAGTCTTCAGGATATCTCAATCACGCCGGGAATATCTAATAATGGTTTCAGAGATCTCCTTCTTATGAATGTTTCTGCTGCTAAATTAGCAAAAATTTGTATATTTATTTCTCCATATTTTATCACTGTTCTTCCTTTTATCTTCTTCATCTCGATCTTGTTGATGTCTTCCTATTCTATATACTCTGTCCATTTTAAGGGTCTCTGATGTAGATCTGTCCATTATAGTATTCAGCATTTTCCTTATTATTCCCATTAGATCTTCTCCTTGAGAGATCTCTGGAAGACATCGTATCCTTAGGTTCTCCCTATTCTCCTGATCTTCTATTTTATATAGCAGATTTCTTTGTTCTTTTCTTATTTCTAACGTCCGTTTTTCTAACTTCTGAATAATTTGGGCATGTTTATCCACTCTTTCGTCCGTCTCCTGCACTCTTAATAATATTTGCCCCAGGTCTTTGTGTATTTTAGCCATTTCTTGTTTTATAGATTTCTCAAGTCCCCATTTCTGCTATTTCTGTTTTAGTGGGCATCTGTGAGCTCTTATCTTGTTCTTCTACATTTCCCATCTCCACTTCTTACATTTGTTGACTACTATTGGCTATTCCTAGGGATAGTCTGTAGTTTTCTCCAACACCGATTTCCATCTCACTCCTTTCAGATATTCCCTGTTGTCTTTCTGGGGTCTGTTTCTCCTGTGAGGGTATATATTTTTTAATTGAGCCTGTTTGGGAAGCCTTAGGCCCGCCTCCTTTAGGCACTTTATTTTTCATATGGTCTATAATATTTTCAGATTTTTCCAGATTCTGGAGATTTTATTTTTTGAGCTAAATATCCAAGTTATGCTCAATTTTATACCCTTCCAGGGGAATTTCACTCTACTTTCTTCTTTTCCTCTCCCCCCTCTCCTTATCTCCTCCGCCAAGTTCCACTTCTTCTGGGTCTTTATTATTTTATGCTCCTTTCACTACTTTTCTTCTCCTTCCTCTCTCTTCCTTTAGACCCCCTTTTAGTTTTACAGCACAACTCTAGTCCCCCACATTTCTTCAATCACAGCAGTCTGCCACTCTCACCCTCCTGTCGCTTTTTTCACTTTCTCCTAGGTGAGGCGGCTGCGACTGCTCTCTGTTGGGGGTTTCAGTAGTCCCTTCCCATATTAGGCAAGTTGCAATGGGGGGGTTTTTCAGACTTCCGTGGGGTTGCGGCAGCCACAGTCCCTTATGCGGGGGGGGGGGAATCCGGCGTCTCCTTCCCTCAGAGAACACCGAACGGCTTCCCCACCTCCCAGTGCTGGTTGTCAGCTGCTTCAGGGTCAAACGAGGTATATAGTCTAAAAACATCACATAGTCCCTCATAAAACTGTCCTGGACTTTCATTGGGCTGTTGAAAAACTTTTGTCGTCTTACTGAAATTTGTGAGCTTCTTGCCAGCTGGTTTCATCTCCTCTATAATAGCTCTCTGATAGTCTTTCCATATCCCCCTATTTGGATCCCACTTGGGGTCAGTTCATGGAAAATAAGCCTCCACTCAGTCCTGGGGGTAACATTTGTCTTTTCCCAATTCTCCAACATACTTAAGAGCGGCCTGGGTTATCCTGTGTCTTTCCTCTGTGTTAAAAAGAGTCAGTAGAAGTTGCTGGCAGTCAGACCAGGTGGGGTTATGTGTCTGGATTATCACACGGTGAAAGTCTGTCACAGCCTGTGGTTTCTCACTATAAGAGGGGTTATAGGTCTTCCAGTTCAGTAAATCAGTTGTGGTGAAGGGAGTGTAGACTAGAGTCCAGTGTCCCCCCTATCAATTGTTCCCTTAGGGGCATTTGCATAGGTAAATTGTAGGATGTGGCAAAAATCTGATTACTAGCAATGGGATTCTTTGGGGTGGAAGTGAACACTGATCTATGCACCCAATACTTGTTGCTGTACCCCCAACTCCCATCCTACTGCTAATACTGAGAGTGTCATAACTAGGGGTGTTAGTATGAACATGTTTAGTAAGATTTGGCATTGATGGGCTGCTCACATCTGCTTTGGGAAGTAGGTCTGAGCTAAATTCCAACTGTCTATGGGGAGAGGTGTCAGGATTTGCCCCTTATCTATATTCACCCGTGGTGTGTCCCTGTACACATGGAGGAGGCATATCTGTCTCTTCAGATTGAAAAAAGATGCACTTGATACTTTTTAGTCTGTGGGATTATCTTTATCATAACCATAATTCTACACTGCTCCTCCCTCACTTTATGTATCCACTTAGGGTCTTCCTCTGTCACCCTTTTCCAACAGATTATGTACGGAATCTGGTCATGCTACTGTGAATCAGACCTAATACATTCTTGCAATCAGTCAATTATCTCTAAATCAAACGTGCCCTGGGGTGGCCAACACCCATAACGGGGGTCAGTCTTCCTCGCATAGAGTTGCTAAACTTTTAGAATGGAGTTTCAGTTTGCAGATTTTGCAAAATCCACTCCTGAAAATTACTGACCATGCACTCTAAGGGGGTCTGGATTGACTGATTACCACCCATATTGTTTCCTAAAAAAACACCAAAACAGACACAGAGGGGTAGGGGATTGGATTGAGGATCTGATAAGGAGTCCAAGGTCCTCGACACAATAGGGTTAAAAGAGAAACGCTTTCCCTTGTTGATGACTTGGTAAAGAACGATATCAGCCCCGGCACCAAGAACTGCACCGACACAGGGTCCACTCTCGCTTCACTGCTGGGCAGCATCTCATTCACTCACATACACACCAGACTTTCCAACCCAAAATTACTGACTGACTGGAGATATGGCCCAGGATGCGCAATCATCCAATTAAGAGCACCTTGGCAGGTGATCAAGCTCTCCTTCCCTCGAATACTGTCGAGAGGCCCTGACTGACTGTTACAACCCAAAAGGCAAAGATCTCAGCTTTTCCTGAAGTGGAGCTCCACAATTTGATGGTTGGTTCCCCAGTCTAGGTTCTTTAGATTTCAGCAGATCTATCCTCGGAGCAGGTGACCAAGATGTAGTGCAGTCTCCCAGACAAATGTCCAGCGGCGCCTGAGACAGCACAGTGATCCAAGGGGCCAGCTCCGGACTGATCCCCATGGGTCGTGGTGGAAAACCACATGTCTCGGTAGTTACACCTGGTTTCCCAGCCAATGCACCAGGAAATGTAGCGGCAACTTTGGGGATACCAGGTAAACTCTGGACACGAACTTGAGGAAAACAAACCTTTTATTTAACCAGTGCTGGTTGAGACTCAGCCAGACTCATGCCTGCACAGCTACGTGGCTTCAAAAACATCTCACAGAGTATATATATTAACAATTACGTCACAATGCATATTTTTCCTCTTTCACTTTCTGTACATTCAAAAGGCTTTCTAAACTGTGCAGTATATAGCCCTGAATGCCAGCTGCAGATAAGGATACCAGATACAAGCTGGAACACATTACTCCACAGAAAATAAGGGAGGGGGGGGGGATTGAGCTGGTGACCTTGCTTTTACTGTGTATATTAGCTGGACGATCAG